TTCTTATCACCTTTCGCATGGTGACGGTTACCTATTGTGAGCACGTTGCTAACACGTGATCGCTAGAAAATTGACAGTTGAGCGAGGATGATATTACACGATATTAATAACATAATATTTGGGAAAAGTAATAATTACGGCGCTTAACTTAATTAATATATGTGGTTGGAGGGGTGACGTTACGTGGGACGTAACAGTTTCCTTGTTAGTTTAGGTTTAATTATTATCACTCAATTTTTGTGTGTACTTGATTTAAGTTCAACCTTGGGTTGTTTTAGAAATAAAAGCGTTACCGCCACAAGCACGGAAGAATCTCATTGACCCCTCAGTGTTTTCCTTAGTCAACCCATTCCTGCGTGCACCCCAGTCTCTGGCTCGACGATTCAATTCGTGGCCAAAAAGAGGGTAATTTGAGTCGAGTCTACTTGACCCACTCGAATGTCAAGTAGGTACATCTTAACGTAACACCACTGCCGTTGCTTCTCTGCAGGTCCCTCGACATAATAAGCCTCCTCGACTTCTCGGCCTCGAATATCGAGCGTTCTGATATTAATGAAAAAAAAAAATCAAATACAGTTTCACTGCCTTCGGCAATTATTTAAATCCTCGCAGTAATTAAAGATAATATAATATTCCTGGGACGGTCACTCACAGGGTGCATTATCGAAGGGTTGTTTCGTTTCCGCGTTACGGCCGTTCAGGTATCGTAACAAGACGCTTAGCAAGCAGATGCAGTAGGGCTCTGAATGCGGCACAGCACTAACGGTGAAATTCTTTGTTGTTTAATCACGGTTTGCGTTTTAGTCTACTCCGGTTTGTGCTGCGATTTAGGGCTAAGTTGTGCGAGGAGACCAAAACGTTCTATTTGATTACCCGAAGATAGGCATGGAATTCACACAAGTTAACTACGTTCGATTCGATCGGACATTGAAAGTATGAAACACGACCCACATACAGAGAAATAGGAATAATTATAATTACTTGTCAACGACAAGAAGGGAGTACAAAATTATATTTATTACGTTACATTGCATTTAAAGTTACATTATTACGATACGACACAGTCACAAAAATTCATTTTAATTGTTGTTATACATGTATTAAGAGATTAGGTCAAAATCTATCTTACCTCTGCAGATATTATGTTAATATCTGCCATACTATATGCAAATGGTATTCTATTTACATGGGTACGCAATTTCATGGGAAATAAAAGAAAAACATAAAATGACTTATAAAAATAAGACAACTGCAATTACACGTGAACACAGAAAACCATCGACCGAGGATCGAACCAGCGCCCCGGCGATTCTAGACCATGCGCCTTGTCCACTAGGCTGTTAGCCGTTTCGAGATTGGCTATAACCTATGTTCTTATAAGGTATATACTTAGTATTAAATGATTATTTCTGGAAAATTGTAAAGAGATGCATGTCGTCCCTTTACTAAATAGTTTTATACATTGAGGACCCTAAAATAATAAAATATTGCGAAATTATGAAACGACCATAGCTGGTCCTTTCCTCGTTAGAACTCCCTCAACAAGCTCTTTTTCTAATCGTGTTTTTCAATTGGTATTCGAATTTTCATGACTCTTTTTAGGGTACCAAATTATAATTTTTCCCTAGATTCGGAGATACAAAAGTGCCTGCGGAATAACATAAATATAAATATCGGTAAAGTGGCGCACCAGCTTATATTATCACCTGGATATCCAAAATCGCGTTATTGCCGAAAAGGGTATTGAAAGAATTTTATTTTATCAACGTCAATTAAATTTCTCGGCAACTTTCATATCACTTTAAGGGACATACAGGTTTTGCATGCGTAGCCTCTTGAGTGGGGATATCGCTCCTGCATAGGATCACACGTGAGAGAGACGACGACAGCAACGATGACTAACAATAAGGGCAATAATATAATGTTATTGAAAATTTTTAAACGACAATTTTTATCCCAACTGAACGAGAAAAATGAAAAATGACACCATTGTATGCTGAAAATCTCTTCGTTTCGAGAAGGGAGTACTAAATAGTGAAACAAAATTTGTATGTCCATTTGAACGATGTTTAAAGCAACTAAGAGTAGCGTTCCGTCAACTTGCACAGTCGACGCCAATGAACTCACCTGAGCCGCTTCCGTGTCTTTTGATATTGTGCCGTCTAGTTCTAATTGGTCTACGAATCATTCTTTAACGAGAAATGTTTTAGTTTTACATACATTTCTAAAAGGGTGGCAAATTCAAATATGTAAACTTTTTTTTTTTCAATAAAGAGTCAAAAAAGGAATTTTCTTTTAGTTTCTCTTCCTTCTTACAACTATTCTTTCCTACTATCTAACGATGCTATATGTTGCTATATGTATAAACAGTTGTCGCATATAAAGTTGACGTTTTTTTAACAAGTTGAAATGTTTGTTTGAATACAGGTGGTTTTATTTCGGAACCAACCCTTATTCCGGACAAGAGGACTGGCTGTATAAAGGTGGTTATTGGGACCGCAATTATTCTGAAATCGAAGACATCTTCTAGGGTCTCGAAACACCTGGTTCTTCATAATGATAGAATTGCAGTAACAAGGTCTATTCTAAAGTAATACGCATCCTACGATGACTTTGCGGTCCGAAGAAATGCGTCCGTGCCAATGTAGGAAACGCGAAATACACTTATTCCGTCAATCAATTAAAATGAAGAACTACGATGAACATACAAGGAATAATAAGTACATGTCCTAGGAGAATAGTTTGTTGTTCTAACTCTTAATTTTTTAAAATCTCGAATGGTTTGAAATCTGTCATGTTGAAAAATATTAGCGTTATACTTTAATAGCTTTCATAATCTTCCATTGGACTGCAAATCTCAAATTACTGCCTTTTTTAACTTTAATTAGCCTTGTAATAGCATATAAGTTAATAATACCAATTAAGTTCATGGAGTTACATTATTCTGCGGAACGATCAGCAAATCACAATAAAGTTAACTTTAGGATTTACTTTACCGCAATCATTACGTTCTTTTGACTAAATCAACGTAGTTCTTATTATGAAGTAAAACACATGATTTTCTCCTTGTTACAAATGCACGCGACCTTTAAGTGATATCAGTATTTATTACGGTTAACAAAACATTCCTCAGTAAAAAATTTTGCAAAGACTATGAATTTGAATGTTTTTACAGATTAATTATTCAATTGATTCTATGGAATACAAATTGAAGAAATCAAAGTCTGCAATGTACATCATCTTTTGTAAAAGTTGTTACAGAATATGTTAGCTCTGTATTCAATACGTGCGCTTCATCATTACATGACGTAAAGGAAGCATTTATGAAAACAAACATAAGGAATTGGAATGCAATGAATAATGGTAAGATTCCACACGTTTCGACAAGGGATCTTTCTCGTATTATAAACGCTAAATAAAATTTGTGGTAAAACAATTTAATCTCAATAATCCCATTGGCAGTAATATATTGAAGCTAAGAAAGAAACCCGTCTCTTTAAAATTGAACGGCTGAGATATACACCAGCACCTTTACGTTCGCCATCACCTATTCCATAATATTCGAAGGTAACCTATGGTTCGGAGTAAAGAGAACGTCTGTTTAGATACCGGCCCTTCATCTGAGAGCCTTTCATAATATGTGAAATTGGAGTAGAATTGCAGTTGCTGACAAGGGAGGGAGCTCAGGTGCCCCCCGGATTTTGTTTTATTTTTGATACGTTATGTTTCATATAATTATAAGGGATGCATATTTTTATAACGGATGTAAAAGGATTTTAAGAAGTGACAATGGATTGTGACTATACACCCTGTGGTGCGATTGTACCAAGTACAACATTTATCTGATCTGAGTTTCCTCTACAATAATATAATTCATTTTATTAATTTTAACAAATGAATTAGAGTTTTAATTCCTGTAAGCATTTAATTTTGGCACGTCCGACGCCCGAGGCCGAAGGTCCTTGATAGAAGCGTCGTCCGTTCTTTCAGCATACAAGTTCGATTAAGGAATACCGGTTGGAACGTCCTCGGAGGTGAGTTAATGCAAAAAAAGAGAGAAAAACCATCTATACCGAGGAAGTTCTGTCAAGGGATACTAGCGGGGCCTGACACACGGAGTCTCACCCCGCCGCCGTGATTGGGTTTTGGAGCCGTGAGAAATACGATTGTACAAGATCACCCGCAACCCCGCGGTTTTCGACAGGTGCTGACCATGTCAGTCAGTTCACGTCCGGTCTCTTAACGACAGCGGAAGAAAAATGCAATGCCTGGTATTCCATGGACCCACCGCCTTTAGCTCAAGGGAGCCCCTAAACAGACGGCGAGGAAGGTCCAAAATTCGTTATCTTCTTACGCCAAGACCAGAGTACAGTTCCGCAAGGACGGAAGGACTCCCCGGTTCCACCAGCCCTTATCAGCTACATCAAGGGATACAGTTGCTCTAGGTGCTACTCGAAAACACAGTTTTGGCTTTAGGAAGCCTAGGACCGACACCACAAGGGCCGTGCAAAAGTACGTTAGTGTCTCGCCCGCCGCGTAATGTCAGGAGATGTCACACACCCACACCAGCTTTCCTATTGGACAACGAGAGCGGAGCAAGAATCTCGGTCGTCTGAAAGAGGCCGTGCGGGTTCGACGCTGAGGTTAAAAACCATCGGGTCCACAAAAATTTCATTTTGGCACTTGCTAATTGGCCGTCTTGACCTGGCAGACAACGCGTGCCAGTAGGAATCGAACCCAAAGCCGAAACCGAGGAACCGCACTGAACTTTCTTGGTAGATCTGGGATAAGGGCCGTCCTTCTTGGTCATCGAGGGTCGAATAGTTCAGATGCGCAGATCTTTTCGGTATCTTTGCTATCTCCAAATTCTATCGCTGCCTGTGGAGGATCGCCACCGACTCATCGGATTCAGCCGACAAGGAAGCCTCACCGCACCCTCTGAGACTGAGGTGTTGGTACTCCACTTTGTCTCGATTCCATTCTAGTTCGCGTTTTTCCTTCGGAATCCCGTCGAAGGACCTAGGTCCGCGTGGTCAGCCGTTCGTTTTAAACATATGCTGTTTAATTCGCGCATTAACTCTAATTTATGGCGAACTCGCGTATTTTACAATTTGCTGTTTCAGTCGCGTATTAACTTTTCTTGCCGCCTAATTTTCATACCGCTCGAAATCCTTCTTTGTAATTTACCAATATGATGCTTGTCTCTCTGCTATCCAAATTAATCATACAACTTAAGGTGATGTGAGAATGGCGCGAAGAGGTCTTGTTTATGAAACTTTTCTCCGAACTGAGTGTACTGTATCGTTTTAATCTTGACAATGTGATGTCTGATACCTGTAAAATTTCAATTTTTTTTAAATTTGTTTACAGACGTTTTCAACATTTTTGGTAAAAAATAAAATTTAATGAGTTTCAGGACCTACTTTAGAGCCCTCATATTCACGTTGTGAAGTTTGAAACGATTCGGTACACCCAGTTTGTAGAAAAGTTTCATGAACAATTGACCTCTGGGATGCCACTTTCACATCCCCTTAACGCCAGAACTACCAAGACCAGTTAAAATGACTGATTTCAGATGACCCATCCTATATAAAAAAAAACCCCGCTGGTAGTTCGTGTTAATCATTTAGCGAAAAATTAAGGGAGATGTTTGCGCCTTTACTTAGCGCTAATGAAAGAGACCAATTGTAGTTGTAATCCGTAGTGGATGTTTGTCTGCGATTACCGAAATGGAAGGATTTCCCTACCGGGTCCTCATTATTGTAATCCCTTAAATTTAGGCCTTCCCGGTGGAGGCCGGCCCCTTTAGGTTTAACTCCACTCCACCGTACTTCCCTCTTGGTGGATCGACGTGCGTCACATGGGGCCAGCCAATAACCAGTGGCCTTCACCCACTCTTCCAAATTTTTGCGAGGTCTTGAGTTGCATTCATTTTTAACATAGATCGGAATCCTTTTTGAAATCGAGCAGAAATAAACAAGTACAAACCAGAGCCACTGTTTTAAGTACTTTCCTTCCATTTCAGTGGAACGCGAATTTTACCCCACATTTTCGCGACTAACCTCCGAGCATCGCCTTACGGTTACAGGAGATGTAAAAACTGTATCTGACGGGTCAATCGTTCATGAAAATCTTCTCCGAACTGGATGTATCGAATTGTTTCAATCTTTTCAACGTGAATATGCAGGCAATAAGAAAGATTCTGACACCCATAAAATGTATTTTTTCAGAAAAATTATGATATTTGTTAGCAAATTAATTAAAAAAATTGAAATTTCATAGGACACTCAGGGCCTTCTTTATAACCTCCATATTCACATTGTAATGTTTGGAACGATTCGGCACATCTAGTTAAAAGAAAAGCTTCATAAACTAAAACTCTTTGAAGCCACATTTACATCATATAAGGTGATATGAAAGAATGAATCTGTATATATCTGAAAGATCAAATCGTTCATGAAAGTATTATGCAAATTGAATGTACCGATTCGTTTCAAATGTGTTCACGTGAATATGGAGGTCCGAAGGTAGGCCCTGAAACTTATGAAATATCATTTTTTATCAACAATTCTTTTATTTATCATGGACTAGAACCACCGTGACGTCATCCGTGAATTGTTTTCATGTTTTCAGGATTTGGAAGTCATAGAATCAAAAATAAAGAGTTTCAGGACATAGCTCGAACAATTTAAAATACTATGGAAATGGAATATTACAGAGTCTGGTGGGAAAATATGCAAAATACTCTCACGAACGATTGCAAGAGAACACTAGTTTATCTCGCGGGTAACGCGCATTTTATAGAGTAAAAATTTAGTTGAAACTAAACGTCACAGATGGCCCCATTGATCCACTAGAGTATAAAAAACTGTGAATACATGAGATTTTTACATTTTTACTTTGATCTCTTTATAATTATTCTACCGAAATAACATATGGACCGCTTCATTGTGTATAATTCTCAACGTAGAATATAACAGATTTCAACATAAATATACATGTCGGTAATGTGGCACGCTAGCTTATGTTACCACTAGAGTATCCAAATAGCGTTACCGCCAAAAAGGGTACAAATGAATTTTACTTTATCGATGTGAATGAAATTTCTCAGCGTTTTTCATATCACCTTAGTACTGTTTTGCCAATCTATTTGGATCGCCCCGATACCGTACTGCCCCGCTTGTTGTGGAAGACGATTTCTTCCTACTTCTGCTCACTTTCTATCTCGCCAATTATTGTAGGTCCTCCGCCATAAATGAAGTTTCGTATTAACTTCTTCGCGTCTCCCCAAATTTCCGACTTTAGCATCTGGCTTTCTTCTGGTGCGCGCCGTTCTACCGTTGCGCTTAAGGCCATGTTAAGCATAGAGCTTGCTCCGATGTACAGGCCGATACTTGATGTAAATTCTTCTGTGAGCGTGTATGCGGTCTTTGACCGTAATAGTTTATGCATTTAACGTTGCTCCTCGGCTCTATTTTCTTTCCCGCTAAAGAACCCCGCCCTCTCCGCGGTCACTAGAGCATACTACATCAGCACGTTTTCCGTCGCTGTTAAGGGTGTGTCTTGCTTCGTAACTCCCGGTTAAGGTAATGACTACATACGGAAAAGTGTCCTCCAATTCGGCACCGGCCGCCAGTCAACCGACTACTTGATAACGCCCGGGTATACCTTTTCAATAAAGTAATTTTCCTACTCTGTGGGTTAAGCGTGGTAAATGTATGAGATAATTTATTCCTTCAAAATGGTCCATCAAGGAAAACTCCAAATGTATTTTTATATGCATACCACGAGGAACATTTTGCAGTAGGTTGCATTCAAATTGGTAGGGAGCTTGTATGCGAAACTGCTAAAAAAGAGATTACTCTTTTACAAGGTTGAGTTTTGAGGGTCACATCACCTCTTAAAATCCTTTTCTATCAGATATAAAAAATACGTGTCCTCTAGAATTATCTGAAATATAACGTAGCATCAAAAGTAGAACTAAATCGGGGGGGGGGGGGGGGGTCACCAAAGTATCCTTCCTTATAAGTACACATATACAAACACACATAGCCACACTTGTAATACACTAATCTCAAAATATTCACATCATTTTCT